AATAATTAAATATGAAATTCAATTTACATTATTCAATATAATTTGCTTTTTTTTTTTATTTAAAAACATTTAAACCTCATTACCGTAAATATCTGCATTTAAATTAGTATCATGAGATAGCTTTTTGAGGCATCCATAATCAACATCTTAGAGAAATTCACTTAGAAGCAAATATTTTGCTATTCAACTAAAGAAGCTGATTAAAATGTTTCATGTAAGTTTTAATCTTGAAAAACATAATGTAAAAATATTGCCTGCATGTTACTTTAATAATAATTAACTTAATACTTTATTTCACAAACTTAGTAGCACCATATAAAAAAAAAAAAAAAAGAGAATGAAGAATAAAAACCTCCAAAATAATATATTGAGAAGTCCTAAATTGGTGAGTCTGTTGCTAATCGAAGGTCAGCTTCATGTAATGATTAGATAGCTTTCTGTCAAAAAGGATATAGGCTAACTTTCTCGTGATTGGTCAATTTTATTTAATTGAATTTATACAGTTTAGAGTACTTTTACCCTTTAACATAATAAAATTTTTTTTTTAAAATGTAATTCCCATTTATAATATTACAAAAGACTCTTTACAAACGAAGCTTTAAGAATCTTATGTATCTCTGAGATTTACCTTGCCTAGGTATACTTCACTTAAAGACAGTTTTTCAACTTAAAAAAATAGTAATAAGATAATAAACACATTATTTATTATGAAATCACGTGGTTCTGCACTTCTTTACTGCTATACTTTTTTATTATTCAAAGAAGATATTGAAAATAAAGCTTTATTAATTAAATTTTCAACATATAGGAGTACAAATAAGTGATACTAATAGTTGTAATATGTTGTCTAAAAGTAAAATTTATAAGATTAAAGAAATGGAGATCTATATACATATTATTAATATTATATTAGAGATTTATTAAAAATAGTTGAATAAGCTTTTTAAAAACAAGAATTGCGATGTTTCAGAATAGTGATATTTCGTTATATTAATAATATAAGAAATTTTAAAGCCAAAAAATATTTGAATAAAGAAAAAAATTGGTTGAAAGCTTTAAAAATAATAAATACAAAATTTAAATTTTACTGGTTAATTATCACATGTTTGAATGTTTAACCAATTATAAATCACTATTCAATTTCATGTGATTGACTAATCATGAGAAAGTTATCCTATAGCGAAAAATGTATGTAGATTTGGCGAGCGATTTCAATTCAGATCTGGCTTATCTTGAATAGTCTGCACTAGTGCTCCGAATTGGGTGGGTTCAGGTTAAAAAAATTTGACCTGAAAATTTTGGGTCAGGTTCGGTTTGAACATTATAGCTATTATCATAATTCCTAAGACACCTGTAAAAATTGGCCAAACGATTTTTCAGCCGATTCGGTTAAGTTTATGATTTCAAGAATAAAATTGTACGCATGTACGTACATACATTAAATTCATAATGATATTGATATTTAATGCGATTGTCTGTTATAGAATTATCAGATTCTTGTAGTTTATTATATGCAAATGACACAAGTTGTCCCATGATCCAGGTAACTAAATTATTATGAGACATATCATGACATTCTTCTTGCCTTTTAAAAAAATAATAAAATCCTATTTTTCATAACAAGTTTTTTTTTTAGTTTTAGTTTTTCTACAGGTACATTCTTTTTTTTGCCAGAATTCCCATAATTCTTGAACATTTTGACGGATAATATCATTCGTTTCATCATATTCTTTCATTCCTAGTTCTGCAAAAGAAGGCGCGATATCATTTTGCTCTTCATCCATATTTCGTGTTGAGTTACAATTATAACCAACCGTTTATTAAAAAAAATCAAATTTACATCATAGCGAATTATAAATTTACTCTTAATATTAATTAATAGAAAAGTATTAGTATTGCCGTAATTGTTATATTATCAATCTTAATATCGGTGTGATTTTATTATTAATGATGCCATTATTGATGTTATATAACAATTACGTAACAATAGTACATGTATGGTAGCATAACACTGCAGTTTCTAATTTTATCTTCAATATCAAAAATTGTTTAAACGTCGATATTTCTATAAAAAAAAATTGGCTCTAAGCATGGTTTTGTTATGAACCCTATTTAATGATGCAAGACTTTGAAAACGAATGTAATAAGTGTCTTAATGAGGATGAACATTGGGCTATCAAATGTCTGAGGGTGAATTTCACAGTCATTTAAACTTTGGATAGAATGGTTTAAAGCTTGTAGTGTGTTGCGATGCCCAGGATGCTGAGATTTTTTTGATTATTAAATTTTTACTTTTTTGTAGGGATCGCTAAAGTGGGACAATTAAAAAAGTTACTTTTTGATGCAGTTAGGGTAGATGTTTTATATAGATATCAAAAACATAATTATGCAGTATGTAGATCCTTATATTGAATTTATCCCGCTTTAGCAGACCTCTTTTTGTAGATGATTGACCAATGACATTATTTTAGTATTTATATATATGAGATGTAAACAATGATGATCTTGCTTAAACTTCTTTTTTTTTTTTATCTGTTATACACTTTTTTTATTTGTGGAATCGTACTGGAATTACCGTTGAACTAACAAATATTTTGAATTGATGAATACAAGTGTCTAGACGTGAATCTGGCTCACAGGAATTGACAGTAAGATATGTTCTGGGTATCGTTTGGACCAGATGGATGAGGGCAAAAGTGTAGTCATTTTGAAATTTTGTTTCAAAACGATGAATACGAGTGACAAAAGCTCGCAGGAATCGTCTGTAAGATATGTTCTGAGAATCATTTTGGTCAATTCGGTCAAGGGCAAAAGTGTAGTTAATTCAAAATGTTCGTTGATTTTTTGAAGATTCTGGTTTGGTTCTTGAAACATATGTTTCTTTTTTTCTTTTTTATTTTTTATTATTTTTTTTGTTGACAAAGATTTCGTTTGTCATTGCGAGGAAGTTTTATTTTTTTTTTCTTTCATTTGAATGATTAAATAAAACAATTGCTTATGAGATTTATTTTTTTTTGAGGAAACGTCGACATTTGGAGGATATGGGTTTTTTTGTTGTTTTTTTATTGTTGTTTTGTTTTTGTTTTTTATTTGAATATACTTACGAATCTTTTTACAGAAATTTCGTCATGTGCAGGTATCGATATTCGAAAAATGGAGTTTGTATGGTCCTCCTTTTTTGTTTTGAGAACTTTTGAGGGTTATGTCTTTTGCCCGTATGTTCCATATGTGAGTTTGTGTCTTACCGAAAAAGATGAAGAGAAGAATCTTTTTTAGTGTAGTTTATTTTCTTTGATCGTTTGTTCTTGTGCTAGCCGTGTTTCGTTTCCTGACGTTGCCTTCACAGTTTTTTGTTAACGTCTCCTTCGTCAGTTTTTGAATCACTATTTTTTCTTGTATTACTAACTTGTTGCTGTGTTTTTTTTTTTTTTTTTTTTTAGCTTTATTTTTTTTATTGTAGCTTCGACTTCTTCAGTTGTCGAACCTGGATCCAATGTCTTCGAACGTTAGCTTAGCTTATTTTTTTATTTTGTTTTATACTAACTTTACTTTTGGTTATATGGTGGTTCGGGTCCCCGAATCATTTACTGATCGCTTGAAACCCTGATAACAACAGGCAAATTGTGTGTCTGTGGTCAATGACGCAACATCATAGTGGTTAATTCTCCTGTTAACCTCTTTTTATTAGATGATGTTGTTGAGACATAGATCACATACTCCTGTTGATGAGCCTCCTGCTTTTTTGAGTTACTGGTTTGATCCTGAGCACGATCTGTACATTTTGTCCTCTTTGGAGCCATGTACCTTTATTCTGGTGGTGAGACCGACCGATTCCTCATTTCCGTAAGGTTACAGATTCTACTTGTCGGAGTATAAGATTTATTTTTTTTTTTTTAAGGAGTGTTTGCATGTTTCTCTGGAAAAAATATGCCTTTGTGGGAATTGGATTAACTTACATTGTATAATGCTGACCCTTTTGTCTTTTAAATTAACGTGGGGTAGAGACGAAAGCATATCCATTCACGAGATTGACTCCCTCGTGTCTTATGATGATTACTTATAGGGTTTGCTATATAGGGGCTTTGCCTTGAAAATCACGCTCCGACATTTCCGATCGGGTTAATTCAGACAAAAATAAACCCGAGTACCAGTTTATATTCATATGTTAATCATCTTTTGACCTTATTGATTCAATAGTTTATCGAATAACTATTGAATCAATAAAGGTAAAAGATGATTAACATATGGATATGAACCGGTATACGGGTTTATTTTTGTCCGAATTAACCCGATCGGAAATGTCGGAAGGTGATTTTCAAGGCACAGACCCCATATGGCACTGTTAGTAGGTTCATTATTGAACTGCGTGCTGGTAGTTTCGATAGGTTTTAACCGATTAACTTGATTATAGAAACCGCAAGTTGGGTCTGTCTTATGAAGGACTAGAGTTTTAGCTTTTTTTCCAGGTGTTTGACACCAAATAAAAACAGATCGATATCCATTTTATAGAGTTTTTGGGATAAAAAAACTCTGGGTTCATGTCACCAATCATCAGTTTATTGTTTTCTGATATTTTAACGGTTCTTCACGAGCATAAATGTTAAACAATATCGTGTAAAAAATTTTTACGTGGTTGCAGTTATATTATGGGGTTTCTATCGCATAGAAAAAAATAAAACCTCCCTTCGTCGAAGGTTTAGTATGCCTCGATAATTGTATTTTTGATGGTCATTTAACCTTGAAAAAATTGAACTTCAAAATAAAATTTTTAAACCGATCTGAGGTTACCGGATAACAAGAGGATCATTACTACCTGTTCCTTTTATTATTCGTTTTCTCTTCCTATCCTTTATGATTTCTTTTATTTTTATTTATTTATTTATTTTATGATTTATCTTATGATTTATTTTATATATAAATATTTTTTTATTTAATAAATTTTTTTAAAACTTTAAACAAAAATAACTCAACTACAAGTTTGTAAAATTCATTTAAAAATTTTCTTATTAAATTTAATTAAGTTTTTGTTGAGTTATTGCTTATTTTGCAATTTATAACTTTGAAGAAAGATCGAATTATTGTAATAATAAACTAGAAAATTTAAGAAATTTTGTAAGAAAAATTTCTTTTTGCACGTGTTATAACTAGAAGTTTCTTTCACCTGGATAGTAATGATTCATATGGATGCTAATGATGAGCTAACTCTTTATTTTTTTTTTAGATTTTACAATTAAAATTACTTATGTATTTGTGGACTTCAAATTAATAGAGACTTAAATGGCGCCTATGGGATTCTTTTCAGTATTTAAAGCACCAAATTATCAAGTGAAAATATTGTTCAAAGTCTAATGTGTTAAACTTTGCTGAATGCTAACTTATTTTTAATCATTACGATCATACAGAAGTTGACAGTTTATAAGTATATTGAATATTTAAAGAAAATCAAATAATAAAAGTATGATTTTATTATTCAAGTAAGGGATCAGACCTAGTAAAAAAAGATACATTTAGATGCTTTACAAATAAATAAGATTTATTTACCTGTTTATGAATATATTTTTATAATATATTATTATACTATTTATACTGTACAATGCTCTAGATAATTGATTAAAAGAGTATTGAAAGGCTTTTAAGTAAATGTTGTTTTCTTGTTTTATATTTGCATTTCAAATTTTTTGATTTGTATTGCATTCTTAACCTTTCAGACTGTAACTTATAACGTGCCATTTCAGACTCTGGCAGTTTATTCATTCGTTCTCAGCAATTTTTGAAATTTGATGAGTGTCCATATTTGGATTATCTTTAATTTTTTCTTTTCAATATAATATAAAGGTGTTTAATAAACATTTTACAAGATTAAAGATCAAGGCTGGAACACATATATTTAGTTCTGGCAATTTCTTGATTGTTTTCAATTTCTTTGTAGCTTCTTCACTTATAAGAATTGGTGAGTAACCTTGTGAGATAAAAACTGATATTCTATTTATATGTTCAATATTTTGAAAAATATCAGATTCTTCAATCGAAATGAAATTATTCGAAATCATTTTATTCATATTTACTTTTTAAAAATGCTTTTTAATAGTTTCAAATATATTGTTAAAATATAGAGTTAGTTAAACCAATTTAGAAGTATTGAGCTAAATTGTATTGTTATTATTTCTTTTAATATTTTCGTATCATATGCTTTATAGAATAAAAATGAAATTGTAAAGTTAACAGTTTGTTTTAAAACATTATATAATAAAAGCTAATTCAAATAAAGTCATTATAAATTTCATTAAGTTTATCACAATCTTTAATATTCTATTTTCACCTGTCGAAATTATAACATAATTTAGGTTTTTATTAAATAAAATTTTATTAATTGAATAACTCTTAAATTAAAATTATAAATCTTTCAATTTAATCAATGAATCTGCTTTTATAATTTTTATTCAAAGTTGTTGCCATTTTTATATCATTAACATCTATTATCCAGTATAGTGCTCTACAAAACAATTTATTAAAGAGAAAATATAATTAATATTCTTGATTAATTTTGATTTTAAAAGATGCATATCATCTATTTGAATAATTAATAGGAACATTAAGTTGGATTATAAATCTTAATATAATACTGTAAGTTGGTCTGTATATTTCAAATTATAATAAAATAAGTCTTCTACAATAATTTTATTTTCAGATTTCATTAACAAGAATAACCAGTTGGCTGGGTAATGCGATAAAATCCAATACCAATACTTCTCTTTAATAACTTGAAAGTTTTGCAAGGTTAATAGTTTCTTAAATTCTTTTTCATTCTTAAAAATTTCTTCTGGATCTTTA